TAAGGTATGTATGAGATACACATGTTAATAAACTTCAGTTTGATTGTCTTTTGTTAATCTATCCTTTGTTACAGGGGGCCCAGTCAAGTAGTTAGAAGGGTAGAAGGAAAGACCATTTTTCCTCCCCAACAGAGACAAAGCCAAAGAGGTGAGATACACTTTTGTTTGGCCCTCTGTAGGAAAATTCTTACTTGCTCAAAGCCTGTGCCTGGGAGTCACATGCCTGTGGCAATGGGGCCATGTAGTACACTTCCAGGAACCCTCTGCACCTACTATGGCCAAGGTTAAGGCCACTCACAGCATCCTAAGGAGACTGCCTTCCTAGGAGCTCCATCTAGGTCTTTTTCTTGATGGGTGGCCAGACAAACACAGGTCCCAGGAGCAAAGAGCACAAACAAGTATCTCAGAAAGGATCCAGCCTTTGGATACAGAATTCAAACTAGGTGGGGACCAGCTGAAGTGAGGAAGCTGCTCCTCCTGATCTGACACAGACCTTGCCAGCAGAAGCCCTGCTCCTGCCACTAGGGCAGCCAAAGGCAGTGCTGCATCCCTTCCTGCCAGGCCTCAGAATCGCTATGTAGTGACCTTGAGACCTTCATACTCTGTTCTGAAAAGGCAAATCTTCCAGAAGACACCCCCCCAACATAATTTGTATCACCTTACTTACACTCATTCCACATCTATGATAACCAAAAAAATAACAGGCTTCCTGTCCTTTGCTGCTAGTTTACAGTTAAAGCATATGCTTGCAGGAAACAGAATCCTGAAGGAAAATTGGTGCTTATTTCATGATGTTAAATTTCCAGTTGAAACCTACATTGTCAGTTTCACAACACTAAACCACTCATGACCCCTTAAGAGATGAGAAGGGAAAGGCAGGGAGACTGAGATAACAAATTTACCTTTCACAGGGGCAGAAGCACCCTTGTTTATCTTTTACAGTGATCACCCCTAGTGAAGAACACGACGAAGTCACATCCCCACACTTCCATTTGGAAACCAGAGTCAATTCCACACAACTCAAGGTGTTAGGCCTCAACCCACTACAGGTATCTAGGCCCTCCCCATTCAGGAGGCCAGGTACTAGGGAATGCTTAGGTCAACACTCAATATAGGAGGTGCTGCCATTTGCTGCGGTCCAGAGCTTCATGGTGAGAGAAAGAAAAGCCTCTCCCACTTGCAAATCAGAACATTCTTCCAGCTTTCCCAATGGGTTGCCAAGTGACTCAGCATTGGCCCAGTGTGGGCACTATTATTGATGAGAAATCTTCCGCCTGGGTGATATACTGCATACAACACATGCCCAAAGAACAGTGCCAAGTCATACCAGGAAGAGCAGGCGAATTATTCACCTCCACTTTGAACGCAGGCAAATCCCGTCTTAATGCAGAGGCTATTCAATATCAGAAAGACAAAGCCCTAAAATCTTCAGAGATTTCCATCTAAGATTCAAGGAATTAGTAGGCAGAACCTCTCCTTTCTTGTTGACTATTAAAAGGCAATCAAATTGAGGACAGCAGAGGAAAAGGGCAAGGAAAAAAATAATTTTTCAAAAACAACCCCAGAGCATAAAGCTGCATAAATGCCTTCAGCTTCCTAAAATGTTGTCTTTGTGAGTCTATGAGCTCCGCCCAGAGGTCATTTCCAGAACTGCATGTTCATTTAATTTAGCAAAAGAAAATCTGCATTCTTCTGGGGTCCAGGGCCTGACATGTTTTGGAGAACTGCTGAAAATTCTTGGAAAACATTCCCTCTTTCTTGCCTTTTATTAAAGGAACATCCCTGAACTCTGAAATGACATACTCAGGGAGCCTGGTGAGATCCAGGAGGAAAATTCCCTTTGATATTTCTACCTGTCAAGGAACTAGTTGAGTTCCTGGCAGGTTGAACTCAGCTCAAAGAAAGCAGAGTGTTCAAAGAGTACTTTTAGAAGAAAAAGTGACAGCTCTCATCGAAATAAAATAGAAGACTGGAGAGCAACTCAGGGGCAAACAAGAACATGCTAATACTAGAAGAATTGAGAATAATGTGCCTTCAAGAAGGACCCATGGGCCATTTGCCTAGAAGACCCAACTATAAGGTGCCTACTGCTTTATGCAACTCAGAAAATCTCCCCCTGAGGCAACCAGTCATACTTCCCAAAGAAGTCACTGCGGTCCCCAGAACATTCCTCTGGTATCTATCCATTCATAACACACACTCATCCCTCATAACTCCACCCTGCCCTCCATACAGGTGACCCTGGGTCCATGAGGGGTCAGGCTAGGATCAAGAGTCCCCAGTGCTCTGAGTTCTCAACTGCCCAGTGCAAGACAAATTGTGTTCCAGATATCACAAGCTAGCCCAGAAAATGAAGCCTTCAAAAAACAACAATATGTTGGTGCCAAAAGTTTCATCTACCATCTGGAAAACTTCTCATCAACAGCCCGCATGCTCCTGCCTTCATCAGCTTGTGCCTTACATGACTTAAGACAGCTTTGACAGATTCTCAAAGGGAAAAAATCGAACCTAATTTTTGTCTTCTTCCAACACCTGCCATCCTCGGCCACCCAAATTGTTTCTTCACTGTAAACACTGAACAGCCTTTTCACGTCTATTGACAAAAATATCTATGGCAATGTTTATCCATTTCAGGAGTAGTAAACCTCTAGAAAACACCCTTGCTAAACCTCTGCACATTCTCATTTCAATAAGGCTAAGCATTCCATGAACGCTACCCTCTTTGGGTTTGTTTGTTTGTTTGTTTAATAGGCTTTATTTTTTTATTTTTATTTTTTTAAATTTTTTTTTCAAACGTTTATTTATTTTTGGGACAGAGAGAGACAGAGCATGAACGGGGGAGGGGCAGAGAGAAAGGGAGACACAGAATCAGAAACAGGCTCCAGGCTCTGAGCCATCAGCCCAGAGCCTGACGCGGGGCTCGAACTCACGGACCGCGAGATCGTGACCTGGCTGAAGTCGGACGCTTAACCGACTGCGCCACCCAGGCGCCCCAGGCTTTATTTTTTTAGAGCAGGCTTAGGTTCACAGTAAAACTGAAAAGAAAACACAGAGATTTCCCAAGAAACCCAACCCCGACACATGCATAGCCTCTCCCATTAACAATATT